TCAAAATCAATGATAATAATGCATACTACTTAAGAAGCCATTTTTAAAGTTCACGCGTGTTGTAAGCGATAAGACCAAAGTTCCCTAAAATCCGGCATCCTATCGTGACTTAAATGATTTTAGAATAGACCACACGATAGTCAGTATTACGATCTAACTTAATGCTGGTTAGCGAGAAAGCATCAATTTTTCGCATGTGTCGGCATGTTACACGCATTTTCAGTCCGTCGTGTAGAGGTTACAGGATGTTTTTCTTCAGTCAAGCCCAAATCCAGTTTTCAAATCCGAGAGATACAAACTAAAAAAATACCTTAACTCTAGGAGCTTAAATTCAAGTCGTCAATGCTAAATCTCGCACCATTTGTAAGGTCGGTTTGTTGATGTCTACTTCTTGCATCCAGTTTTAATTAGCAAGAGTAAAGTTTAGATGCAGTAACTGTGATTGTCGTAACCTGGTCGGTTTTTAAAAGCCTGCTGAACAAGTGAGATTCAGAAATTTAAGGCATTTCCCCTATTGCAAATGTAAGGCAGTAAAGGACTGCAGGATATAATAAAACCAAGAAATTCCGCAAGTGCTCTCAAGCAATTTTCCAGTGTTTGTTTGATCTGCCTTATTTAAATTGACAAATTATTAGCATTAGGTGGCAATGCAGACTTGGTCAAAAAATTGGACCTTTTATTTTAAAAAGTATCACAGGTCTCTTTTACTTCTTTTTAATTATAAGCTTGAATTAAATGACCTATGAAGCGTTTTAAAGTAAACGGTAGGAAGCCCCAATAATACAACATTAAAAAAGTAGGTTCTTTTGGAAAACAAATTATATTTCATCTGATTGTTAACACAAAGTGTGAAACTTATAGAAATAGGTTATTCTGGTGTTCTGAATGATGTTTTTCAAGGCGAGAATGCTTCCCAGAGTGGTTGTACATTTCATTGGTTTACCTTGTCTTTGTGCATGCTCGCCTGACTAATCGTCAACCAATTGATTTGCCGCCACCTCTCATTGGTCAGGTTCAAACAGATAGCTCCTGATTACTAACTCGGATGTACTGCACCCGTTTGCACTGCGAAACGTATGTTCTCTTGCAAATCTTATGAAGTACTTATTTCTCTCGAGTGTTCTTTCATCTACTTTTTTGTCTTGAATAGTACTTCAAAACAACATCTTGTGGTTTCAGTAAAACTTTAAATTTTCTATTTTACTTTAGGCCTGAAATGTGAGATTTGTATCAGCAGTGTTTGCTTCCTGTTTTCTACACATGCGGCAGAAATCGAAGCTCTGGGAAACAAATGGAATTACTTTTGACGCTCTTATTTTTTAAATTCCAACTTTGCGGATGTTTTGCTTACGAGCATTCCTCCCACTCTTTTGGTAGTACGGGAAAGAGCTTCGACTGCCCAAATATGGAGGAAATACCAAGAGACATTGGAATTTCTGACATAAGTAGCTTCTGGCCTGAACAACGAAAACCACCGCAAAGACTGCAGGGCTGGCTAAATACATCAAAGAGTAAACCCATTTTACGGGCCGTTAAACCGGAGCCCTGTTTTAATGCATCTTACCCAACCGAATTTTCAATTGAGGAGCAAGAATCTGTCACTCTGCCATGCTACATTCATAACGTGGATTTTGATTCCGTCGTAGTAAGTGAAGGTTTTTTATAAACAAATATGAATATAAAGTTTATGATTTATTCAACGCTTAAGGTCACACATACTATTATCTTAGGACGGCAACTAAAATTGTATTACTGGTGTTAGTTGCCTTAGCTAATAGTTTTACTTGCCTCTAAGAGGAAGAAGACTGAAAAGTTTTAAAAAGCCTGTCAATTTTTTGTGTGGTGTAATAAGTAACTTAGACACATTCAGCTGTCAAGTATCCAGAAAAAAACATTGTTTGTCATCGACACGTTCGCCACTGCAGAAGTAAATTAAAAACTAATCTACTATAAATTTAAGTTTTTACCTTTATAAAATGATTTCATTCGACAAGCTTTTATACTCGTGCCACTGCACTCGATAAGCGCATGCAGTATTCAAACAAACTTAGGGATTGTTTATTTAGAGGATAGGTGCACAGATATCCGGAGAAACGCATACTATTTAAATATTATTTCAGATATCCTGGTGGAAGGAAGGAGAAATACGAGAAATATCTGTCGGGGAGAGCACAATAAATTCAAGGTACTCTATCTACAGATCGTCTCCAAATGCGTGGGCCCTGAGAATTACAAATGTCACTATGAATGACACTGGGGTTTATATCTGCCAAATCAACCTTAAGGTTTTACGCGAAAAGTTTTTCAAATTGATGGTGATCGGTAAGTTATCCAATTATACATTAAGAATTATTGTTTTTGAATAACACAAATAAAAATAAATAATTGTTGTTGGCTGCAAGAGTGCTGATAAAATTTAGAGCTAAACCAGCGTAGGGCAAAAATTTGCCTTAATGCTTTTCGATGATTTCACGGTTAATCTCACGAAATGGCGAAAAAAAACTCTTCTCTCACTGTCAAATTATAATTAGTGTATGAACATATATGCGTTGAGTTACATTTGCAAGCTTATATCCCTTGCTTAGCAGCATGTACTATGTCCCTTGTTATAAAATGGTTGAATAATTGCTTATTTCTTGAACTGAATACCTTTTGGTCTATCATTTTTTTTCTTTTAAATAAAAAAGCACAGTTATAATCTAGTTATTCGAAAACCAGCGAATTCATTAAAAATTGCAAAAATGCGCAGAGGAAACCATGCACGTGTGTGGGAAATCCTACGCATGTTATGAGTCGACTAATATAAATAAATGATGTTTGATTAATAAGAAAGCCATGAAAAATAGCTTGCTACTTACTTCCACGAACAACGTTTTCCTAAGTGCCCGTAAGGAGCAGGATAGGCTAATCGTTTATCTTTTGAATAATGGCATTTTACTTTAAAATCGCACTCTTTGTAATTCGGCATAATAGGCTCTTCAAAGTCGCGCATATATGTCAGTCCGCTGATGTCTTTGATGTTGATTCAGCCTTGCTACTTTATTTCATGAGTACTTAAAGGAAGCCGTCAAAGCAATATTATTATATCCTAGGTAAACTATTAGTTTTTCGCAGCAAAAATTTACCAGATAGAAATATGTCCAGAGACACAAGAAAAATAAATGTTCAGATCCACTATTTCTACTGACACGTTTTGTATAGCTGCATAGAAAAAGCTCTTTCTTTTAATTTACGCTATTTGTACTGTGAAGTAATAAAGCAAAACAATGCTCGTCTACAAGTCAGCACTATTTAAATCACACTGAAATTAAAATGACCTTTAAGACTGTAACTTCAGTTTTTCTGAAAATATAAGAAAATGTATAAATGTTCACCTGAGTGTAAGTAGTTTAAACAAACACGCATTATTTTTTGCAAAAGTATACCAGCTGTTCTACGTTTCGAAGAGTTCTTTTTGAAACCAGGCCTGATTGTTTCGTAAAATTGACTATTAGGTATATGGTTCAAAGGTGAGATTAGCAAACTTCAGCTTTTTAAAATAAAGGACTCTTAAGCCCATCAATTAATTTTCACTAAGTTTTATTCTGACTAAAGAATTTTTTCGCGTCTCTAAGTTTTTACAATGTAAGTATATCACGTTTGCAGTGAAAACGTATTTTTTTTATATATATTATTTATATATATTTATATATATATACATTTATATTGCTAGTATATTGTTCATATGTGGGTATTTCGTATAAAAAATAGTGTAGGGCACTGTAAATTGTTTAGTGTTTGCCCCTATTAGTGCCTATTATTTGTTACGCTTACGCCAAAATCTGATAGCTGTATCATAAAAAACACGAAAATGGAAGCAAACGGACGATCGTACTTGAATTATAAACACGACTGAAATTGTTCTTTCCTTTCAGTCTATGACTGCCATGAATGTAGTGATCTGACAAAAATTCATTTTGGAGAACTTGCTTGAATTAAATTCCTGTGTGATTAAACATTAACTGTTCATATGGAAGTATAATTTAAACAGCCTATTCTTTAAAGTTCAAAGTGAGTGACAGGCTATAAATAATGAATACTTTAAATGAAAACGTAGTTTTCATAGCAGACTGGACGTTGTCCAAAGGGCCCCTGTGGTAGAAAGTGTCACAAAATGTAAAAAGTTTCAAAAAAACGCAAACTCGGCATTTGAATGCTTATATTGGATATTTATCTAGATAATTAAGGAAAATTAAAAAGATCTGAGCATTCTAACCTCCGAACTTTGAAAGTTTATCAGAAATATAGCTCTAAATCATACCCTTGATCCATTTTTAAAGACTTTCGTCAATATCGGTGTTTAAAAACCGCTCTGCATATAACGTAGCTCATGTGACAAAGCATTACCTAAAAACAGACATTTGTCTTGCTGTTGGGTTTGTTCATCTCGCCGTGGCCCCTAGGTTTTTAAATTTGGACAATTTCACTTTTCTAATCTGTCAATTACCCCTTAGGAATTAAAAAAGAAAACAATTTCCCGGTATGAATTCAAAGAAAAGTAAGGTTTGTACCTAATATATGGTGGCACGATTTTTAGCTCAAATGAACTTTATATTATGTTCTTCTTTACCTAACCTGCTTAGTTATCATATGGTGTAAACTTTTAGACCATGCTATGCAGTAAATCCGAGCCACACGTTAATTATGCAAAACACGTATTGAATTAAGTGCAAAAGAAAATGACTTGAAATGTATTAAGGTGAGTGCTGACGAATGTTTGTTAGGAGTGTTCACAAAGCGTTTGAGGGCTTTACTCACCATCAGCTCAGCCTTATTTCAATGGAACACAATTGCGTTCCTATTGTCAATATTCTTGCATGTTGCCTGATTTGTCATGAAGGGAACAATGTTAATAATTAACTATGACTGTACAAATTTTTGACATTACCCATTTCAATTCGAGCTATTTTTAAAAGGTTTAAAGGTTTTTGAACATTCCAAATAAATCGTTTTACACTGCTTCTTCTCCCTCTGTGGCTGCTCAAAATTCAGAAGAAAGCAAAACTTACAACCGCGATCGCACAAACGACGTTCTAGTGAAGGACGAAGCTATCAACCCTACTATGATTAAAAGTAAGTCTGCAGCCTAACGGACGTTTGTGATCCTCTTACTGTAAATGGATTTGTCGCCGATAGCTTACATGGTATTGTTCCGCTTATCGGTGTACGTTGTTCTGTGTGGACCGTCTTGTCGTGTGTTTATGACCACACTTATCATATGTTTTGTAAATGAGACGTTTAACTTTAATTTACTGCCTGTACAGTTTTGTTTTTGCTGAGGTCGCAAAAGTGCGATTTTGTTTTAAAGTGCTAATGCTTTTAATGAGGAAACGGATGCAAAGCCGTACTATGACGATACGAAACGGCTCTCCCTATTTTGCTTTGTATACAATGTTTGCTTCCGATTAAGTCCTAAGTTTGCAATGGTACATATACGAACAATCCTTAAATTGTTTACCAATTGGTCTACCAAACATTGGTTAATGACACGCAATATGTTTCCTTTCCTAGAAAATTTTCATGAAGGGAGACATAGTCTAATACAGGACTACCGGTGACGTTCTCATGATGAGCTATTACTAATCTTTCGATTGTGGAATAGTTGCTGGAATATATAAAGTGAGAAGTTAAATATAAGCAGCAATGAAATAAACCAATTTTAAAAGAGTAGACATTCGTCATTAAAAGCGTATCAGTATTATTCCTCCATTGTGCCATATTTATTTTGATAAGCTGCAAAAGATCACCTACACCACTAAAACTGGTCAAACGTGGGCAAATTAGATAATAATCTGTCTTTGGGAATATCAGTATAAAGAGTTCGAGTGTCATTTCTGACTTAGTCCATCTAGTACCCAACAGAAACTTGGGCAAAGGTAGGTTCATTTGGGCGTTACTTAATTTACAGACACAGAACTCATCCTTACGTAACACAGCTGGAGTTGTTGTCACTACCGACTCAAGGACACCAGCTGCGTGCATGTGGCTTGCGCGGCGTGAACGTGTGTCAAATTTTTGCCGAAATTCGTGAAATGTTTCTAATCACTCACAGAATGCTATTACCGCATTCACGAAAACATTGAAATAGCAATGTGCAAGCTAAAAAAAATTTAAAACTTAAAAGAAATATAAAAATATTACTTTGTTAGAAATATCAATATTTAAAAGCAATCGGCACAGTCCGAAAACATGAAAGTCGCTGCAACTGTGAGTAAAAGGTCCAAATGCTAAACATACCATTTTGTGCATACTTCAAGAACTTTCCTGTCATTTTAATTATATCTGGTATTGGAGCACAATTTTTTGCAGCTCTTCGTCCAATTGCCAAAAAATGTTTCACGATTTTCCGTCCTTTTAATTATTTTCGATAATTCAAATCTTCCCAATGAGGTATATCTTAAAATCGTTAAGTCAAATGTACAGCCTTTGGATATTGTACCTATGCCTTTGCGGTATCTTTTTCGACTCATGAAAACGCAAACACTATTTCGTATAAAATGTGGGATAGGCATCCCAAAAATGTAATTTCAAAGAAATACTTTCTTTGGGAACATGCGGAAACTTAATTCGGTAAATTTTTGAAACTAACTACCAGCGTGAACCACAATTTGCGATCACACTATAGACCTGGTCTGCCTCTGGACCGACGTAAATTACAATTGCCAATTAGTCATTACGCTATAGCGGCTACTACCTTTTTCACCATGCAGTGACGCAAATCGTAGCTGCCAATTATCGGCCACAATATACAATTTTATAACTGCGGCAGAACTTTTGCAATGTAACTTGTTCTTTCGTTAAGTCTGATGACGACCCAGTGGGCTAGTATCGAAAATTTAGTGAATAAAGTTTCGTCCTCGAAACAAAAAAGGACAACTCCTACAACAATTTTTGGGTAGTGTTATGTTCAAGAACAATTAAAAACAGCAGACGAATCTGTTCACAATAGGTTATGTCGCTCGAGAAATCTTTACTGAAATTCGGAACTGCGTTTTCCTTTAGAAAGAATATCTAATGCAACGTCGTCCTACCAAACTGAGCGCAAAGAAATCCCTAGATATTGTATTCACGTTCGGCTGTCACCTTTTAAAGGGTTTCTTCTCTACTACCTATAAAAATCGTACTGTGTGAACAATGGCTACGTACGTAATATGCCGAGGGCTTTATCAATTCGAATGCATTGCTTAGAAAAAGCGTAAAAGCGGATTGTATGTTACTTATTTGGTAGCCAGTGTCCTCTTTTTTAAACTTCTTTCTTGAAGAAGGTGTACATATCTTTAGAAGAAATGTTCCTAATTATAAGATTACAGAAAAGCGCGGGATACTG